CGGGACTTCGCCACGGGGGAATGGCCGACCCTCTACGACGAAGGCATCGCCTCCGTAGCGTTACCACAGCCCCCACGACACGCGAACGACACCGCGGGACAGATTGCTAGGGCAGAAACCCTAGCTAAACGAGGGAACCTTCGCAAATCGCTCCAAGCCCTCGAGTCCACCTCTGTGTGCAAGCCAAGCGCGGAAGTACTTAGCGCCCTTCTGGCCATGCACCCACGCGCTGGGCACGCCCTTCCTGGTTTGACCCAGCCTCAACACCTCAAACCCACAGCCGCCAACCCAGCCGCCATTTCTGCCCACACAGGGGCTGAAACAGAGACAGGCGCGAAACCTCGCCATTACGGTGGCTGGGCTGAAGGCCCTGCTGCGCCGATGTCCCAACGGCGTTGGGGCAGGGCCCACGGGAATGTGCTTCGAGCACATCCGCGAAAGCGTCGTTACCAACATCGACGTCTTATAGCACCTTACGATGTTAGTAAATGCGGCGCTGACGGGGAACGTCCCGTAAGAGGCTGCAGAGCTGCTCACCTCATCGCGTATGCTCGCGTTCCTGAAGCCCAAGGGTGGAGTCCGGCCCATAGCAGCTAAGGAGTGCCTCTTCCGCGTCATGGGCAAGGCCGCCCTCTTGCTTCTTACAGAAACCGCCCAACAGCACTTCCTCCCCCTACAGTATGGAGTGGCGGTGAAAGGCGGAGGCGAAACCGTCATCCACGTCGGACGCGCTCACCTGCAATCACACCCGGACCATCTGGTGCTGCGGGTGGACATGACCAATGCGTTCAACTCAGTTGAGCACATTGCCTTCTTCTCCGCCATCAGGAACAGCCCACTGAAGCGGCTGCTGCCCCTGGCGCGATTCTCATACGGCAGACCCTCATCACTCCTTCTGGACCCCGCCTATGGCACCCCCTCTCTCAGCAGCGAACGAGGGGTGTGGCAGGGGGACCCCCTGGGTCCCCGCCTATTCGCCATGGCCATACACCCGGCCCTGAAGCAGACAGCGGAGGAGTATCCGAACGTCCTCACGCTGGCGTACGCGGATGACGTCACCTTCATGGGGACGCCGTCCGAGTGCGCCGCTGCCTTCTACTCCTTCAGCGGCCGCATAGCAGCAGCAGGCTTGGATTGCAACCCCACGAAATGTGGGGCCTGGTCAGCAATAGAGGTGGACCCCGAGCATATCCCAGCGGGGGTACCCCTCCAAGCAGAGGCTGTGTGCATCCTCGGCAGCCCCATCGGGACGAAGTCAGGGTGCGAGCGCATGATGAAGGCAGCTCTGCTCAAAGCAGCCTCAGCTCTACCGCTTCTCGAAAAGCTCCAGCCGCAGATAGCTATGTTGCTACTCAACAAATGCGTCACACGGCGAGCCTCTTACCTGCTCCGCACGACGCCGCCAGGCACGCTGCCATCCCAGTACTGGACAGCCTGGGGCAAACGTCTCCTGACAGCCGCCCTGACTGCCTGCGACCTGAAGCAGCCACACGCACCAGAGGACCAGGACCTCCTCTGGCGGCAGTCCACCCTGCCAATATCCATTGGAGGCCTAGGCCTCCTCGACCCAGTGGTGGAGGGAGGGTACGCGTACCTGGCCTCCACCGCACTGGCAGGCGACCTCCTCCGCACCCTTGACAGCACCGCCTCCTCACCCCTTGGAATAGCAAGAGAGCTTCTCTCCCCACCATACACCGCGCCAATCCCCCTGCACCTCCTGCTATCCCGCCTGGAAGCCGCCCTGCCACCAGCCGCGCAAGCCGTCCTGCGGCAGCCGCGGGAGGAGTCGGCGATGAAACTGCAGCACGCCCTTGCAGTAGAGGTACATGGGGCGCGACATGCCGACCTGGTAGCTGACTCCCGCGCAATGGCCCTGAACCCTAGCCTGGGCCACACACAGCGCTTACTGTCGCTGCTAGGACCGGGGGCAAGAGACTGGCTGCTTGCCATCCCCTACTGCCCGGACCTCACAATGAGCAAGGGACAGTTCGCTATAGCCCTGTCCTTCAGGATGGGGCTGCAGCTCTCCCTGCCAAACAACTGCAACTGCAGAGAGAAGAAGGAGCTTAAGGACAAGAGGCTCCCTAACCACCTCCTGCGGTGCACCCTTGGTGGTGGACCCATTCAGGTACACAACGCCCTTGTGAACCTGGGGGTGCGCCTCGCCCGCGAGGCACACTTCGTGGTACACAAGGAGTCGACCCTATACTTACTCGAGACGACCCAACGCCGCGCTGACATCACCCTCCGAGAACCGTACTCAAGCGCGGTATGGGTCGGTGACGGTCCTCCAGGGACCCAACAGCAAGGAAGGGGACAGGATGGATGGCGGCTGAGATGCAGGAGAAGAAAAGGGACCTGTACGACGAAAGACTTACCTTCGTCAAAGTCCTTGGGGTGGCAACAGAGACATATGGCTGCTGCAGCGACGACACCCGAGAACTACTCTGCCTGCTCGCAGTAGTAGCCGCCCGGGAGAATCACCATGCGAACGAAAAGTCCGCGGTGACCAAGAAGCTGATACATTCCTTCCGACAGAGGTGGTCAGTGACACTGCAGCGGCAACAAGCTATCACTTTGCACGCAAAGATCGGGTAGGCGTCCGGGGGAGCCTTCCACCACGAGCATCCAATGGACGAGCCGCTCACCTGGGGAGAGCTCGAATCGACAATTGAACCTACCTTCGAGGGTTGGCCCAGGCAGCAGTAGGATGCCTGGGAGCCCTAGGTCTCGCATAAACCCGTGTATGCCTTTCTATAC